CCATATGAACCGGATCCTTCCCTCCTTTTCTCGGACTGGGACCTGTTCATATACGTTCTTGGCAGATGATTCAGAAGTGGTTTGCCATTGCCTTCTTCTGTGTGTGAATGGAGAAACCGGGGAAGCCCCCGGAGGAAAACTCCGTGTTGCCTAGACCACGGCCTTGCCCAACACAAGTTATAAATTCGGGCACCGCCGGGAATCGAACCCGAGACCCCAGGACTACAAGGCCAGCGTTCTAACCGCTAGACCACCATAGAAATTCAACGATAAACCTGAATATCTGCAATCAAAATTAAATTAAAAATACATGTAGCACATCTTCCACAGTAGGCTATTTGTCACTGGGTGTTAGCGTTTATTACACTCCTCGAACTATTTGGAGTCTTCCATTCGTTATACCCGTGGTTCTTAAGAATTTGAACATTTATATAATCGAAACGTTAAATTCATTCATTTCGCCTCAACTATTTTCAACTCGTTTGCACATTTACATTCTTGATTGTCTCTGGTGAGCACATAAATTTATAGACCGGACATTTTCATTCGATAAGGAATCAGATTTGAAATTGCAAATCAACGAGTGTAAAAAAAAATTCTCGTAATTTCACCCAGAAATGAATAGGCCAAAAAACATTAAATTTTATGGCGAGGGCGTACAAGGATTAGACAGTATTTTATACGCATAAAATGTCCTTCGAGATATGGCCACTGTGAGGAAAAATCCACCAGGATTATAAGGGATGAAACGATAATTAGCAAGAAAAATACTACAGATGCTTACTACAGTGTTGCTATGTAGCATTTAAACCTAAACATTTTCCCACAATAACCATAAAGTGTCTCAAATATTATAAATATTACCACTTACAAGAAATTTGAAAAAAAAAATTTACGTTGATATAAAGTGAACTACGAGACATTTCTTACTTGAAGGATTAAAAGTTCGAAGCCTACAGAAGGACAACGAGTTCTGCGTGTACGTCACAATAATCCAGAAATATTGATTCAGTCCCGTCACAAAAATCACTATACTTAAGCATATTTAAAGCCACCATAATTATATTCAGTACAGGGAATGACGTCGTACGAGCGTCATAGCCTGACAATCGATGCCCGGCGATGCCATGGCAACGCGTTGCTAAGCGACGACTCTGAGGGATGGGGCGTCCAGGTAGCGGGGTGGCCTATACTAAAGGCTGATGTAATGCATACGGACTGGTCGACTTATGCGAGTTCTTAAAACGCACGTAAAATCTCAGAACGCAGTATAATATACGCTACATTTTCCAAAAACACTCTAAACCCCCTCTCAGCACACAATTCACAGTAAATATTTCGATTTTTGGTGTATTTAAAGGCGTATCAACTCCATCTATTGAGACTAAACAGCCACACCTCAAAACGGGGAACATTTCACCGTCCTGCCAAAGCACGTACACATACCTGCATAGTTTACCAATAATTAAGATGATATAGTTGCGTCATATTGTGAAACCATATATTAATTAATTATTCGGTTTTGGTCCGTCTAATCACAATTCAAATTTAAAATTTACAATTAAGATAATTAAAATATCATTTGATGTTCCTCATCGAACAATCTATTTTACATTTTACAATCGATTTACCAATAATTATTTTAAAAAAAATCAATTATCAACCAGAGACTACGTAGCCTGCATACAACAGAATTTTCAGATCGCAGCTCGTAGGATATTCGAAAATACGATTTTGAGGTCGCGTAGAATAGCACAACCTCAACACCCAACTTCATCAAAATTCATCCAGTGTTTCTCAAAATAGTATCGACTGGACAGTCACGACCAGCCCAAAATACGTTCTCCTATGCACTTTTCTGTGCGTCGTTAACGAGAACGTAAAAGGGTAATATTGAGAAAAAAAAATCATAGCACGATGCACTCAAAAACAACCAACCAAGATACACAAATGTTTATGGTTTACACAAAAGTAATTAAATGAAAATATCAACCACGGTCCAAGCTGAATGCATGTCGGATAATTGGAGAGTTAAAAAGTTCGGAGTTGCGAATTAAACTGACCTGTCAAACCCTACGATTTAAAATCTGCAACTCCCAAAAACGATAGTACGTTAGAACGATTATCTACAAGGATAAAATCACGTAAAATTCAAGACGGAATGTGACACGATCAGCGGCAACGCAAGTCAGGAGCGTCTGAGGAGGATCTAGGTGTGTACTCATTTCTTCTCCCTAAAGGAATTAAGGAGGGAATACCATGCCTCCACAGATGGCCCCATAATGCGGTCCACTGGTTTTACCACAAGGATAAAATAGCGGGAGTGGGCGAACACTAATGACGAGAGCTCGATCAGACATCAGCAGGTTTTATCCGCGGCCTCGCTACCAGGTATACGAGGTGCGATCGGAAAGTTTCAAGACTGCGCGTATAAAAACCCGTACACTTATCTAAGGTATTAAATTCATCCATCACCCTCGAAGTAGTTCCCCTGGGAGTAAACACAACGATCCCAGCGCCGCTGCCAAGCCTGGAAGCATCCCTGGAAATCTTTCTTTGTCAGCCTGTCAAGCACCATCTGCGATTC